GGGGAAAGCGAAGGAAAAGTAGGGGTCCTGCCCAAAAGGAAGGGTCCTCTAAAAGAAAGGAAATGCATCAAGGGAGAGAAACGTGCCAGTCCATTCCCTGCATCAGTAACTACATTGCTCCCTGTAATGACAAAGCAGGGGAAGCTGTCTCCAGGAGACAAGAGGGATAGAGAGTTCACTCCTAGTTTGGTGTACATGGAACATTTCTGCAGGAGACCTAGTCATGGATGTACAATAATTAAAATGGTTGTAGAAATTGAGGTGCTCTCACATTACTTGAGTATATTTGTTATAGGTTTTCCTTTGGCCTCAAAGGTTTATAATTCTTACATTTTGCCAGACCAAGAGAGGCCTGAATCATATTTCACAATTTACTTAGCCAACTGCACATACTTTTTCTCTGAAGGGTTGCAGATGTGGTGTCTCCTCTATCTCCCCACTCTACGACCATGACAGGATAAAACTATCTCATCAATGTGGACAGAGTTGACTAACTTAGACAGATGGGTTTGGGTAAATCATACCTTGCCTGAGCCCCTATCACAGATCAAGTGGACAGGAGATTATCAAGGCATGAGCTTTCAGCCCAAAACACCCAGTGGCCCAAATTGCAAGTCAGGTACCCACTAACAGAAGATGGCTAACTGGGCTTCCGTGGTCTAAAGGCTGCACAGGAAAAGGACTATCTTCAAAGTCAATCAGGGCCCAAACAGATGTTCAGCTCAGTTAGGAAAGCCTGCATTGTACACTTAGAAGCAAGCACGTTACACACTATCTAAAGCCTTTCACTTCTAAAAGCAGCCTGGCTGGGTCCCCAGCACGCACCGAGGGGTGACAGGTGGCCCCACACCGCGCGCTACATTCTGCAGCTGGCCAGACCCGGCATTTACAACCTGCCTGTGTGTCTCGTGCTATCCAGGTACCGCATGGCAGTAAATAAGACATGAAAGTAGAATCTTGAGAGACGCCTTTCCCACGTAGGAACTGACCCTGGCTTAACACAAGAGAGTTCAGAATTAAGGACTTAAAATGGCCACGTGTTCTCTGAAAAGAAGCAACTCTAGCCCCCATGTTTACTTGACCTAAGGATCCTGTACTATGAAATGACACGCACATCAACCATCTTGTTCTCATTTCAGTCATCAACTGGAGAAGTGCTGGAGTCATCAGCACTTCTCTTGAGCAGCCAAATCCAACACCAGCAGTAACCAGAGCTTTCTCAACATCTGCAAGGCCTCCTCAGCTGTACTGACTGCCTCTGTGCGGGCCTTACTCATCTGAGGCCTCTGCTGGGAACCCATGGGTGGGCTTCAGAGGGCCCCTCAACCCCCTCAAAATTCTAAATGTGCATTTCCTGTGTAGACGCTTTTTCTCAAGGAGGAGGTCTTTGGTTCTCATCAGATTCTCCAAGGAATGCACGACCAAAAAGCAATTAGAAACACTTCTCTAAGTGTATGTCAATTAGCTCACAAAAAACTCTGTGCTTGAAGTGGGGATAGGACAGTCAGCCGGTGCTTGTAGAAGGCATCACACCCTTGTCCCTCCACCAGACCCTGAGCTGCACCTCCAGTGTCTCTTGGGAGACAAGTGACACTGATGATAGGGAACATGAAAACTTTTTAAGGTAAGAGAATCATCTTCAGTGTAAAGCTGGAACAATTCAAGATGTGAAAGTCTGTTTGGGAGCTTACGGCTATCACTGAAGTTCTCCTGAAGCCGAGTGAAGTCGGTACCTCGGCACCATGGCTTCTGTGGCGGCCATGTCATTGCTCTCAGTGTTTGTTTTGTGGTGTGCTGTTGTTATGGTGTGTGTCTCATCAGCAAAGGTCTGTATATTAAGTATATTTCATCAACAATTGGACTTTCTTTCCTTCCTTCCCAAAATGGTTTCTGGACAAAGCACTGCATATTCTACTCAAGTCCATTCTTGATCGCCACCTCCCAGTGGTTTGTAACAGAGTATTCGTGGCTCCTAGACTCTCCCTATGACCACTTCTCTCGGCGCTACTCGCTTGCCATTCCCCCGTTCACAACCTCCTTCACTTGGTCCAAATGCCTGTATAACTGCATAAGGGCATTTTGTGGTACAAAGGACGTTCCTTTAAGGAGTATTAAGTATAGCCTCCTGTTTTTAGTTTGTTTCTACAGATTTAATCAATAACCTGTCCCTTCTGGACTTCCTCTGTTGTCACACTCCTTTTACATCTTAAGCACTCAGACCCTAAGCTTCAAGGTTACAGTCTCATCCCCAGCACACACACACACACACACACACACACACACGCATGCATGCACGCACGCACGCACAGATACACATGCCCTGGGCTAAGCCAACCTATTACCTCTAATGCTTCTGAAAGTGTGACCTGCAGACCATTCATAACAGAATCTTTATGGGGTGGAAGCACTTGGAGCTTGTATTAACAATATACTTGTTAACAATGTATATTCCTGCCAACCCATGGGCCAATTGGATCAAAATCCATGGAGGTAGAATTTAGCAAGCTACATTTGTTAACATGTCCCCCATCCATCCAGATAATTCTTAAATACACTAAAATTTGAGAACCTTGATTAAAAGAACCATTTCCTCTCTGGTTTGAGCCCTTTTGTTTTCAGGGATCTCAGTGAATCTATTTACACATCCCTCTTGCTCATCTCTGAGATCAGCATCTCCCTGTCACTTCCTAAGAAATGTTCTCTCTCTCCCTCTCTCTCCCTCCCTCCCTCCCTTCCTCCCTTCCTCTTTCCCTTTCTCACCTTTGCCAGTAGCTCTCCTGTAGGCTATTTCTCAGCCTCTGCGCCCACCTCGGCAAGTCCTCAGCACCCAACCATTCACTTCTTCCCTCATCCTGCACTGCTCTAAAGAAACCCCCTTAGCGTCTATCATGCCAGACTGCTGAGACTGAGACTCCCTTCACAACGCCCTGCCCAGGGATTCACAGGACATGTTTGCTTGTAAAAGGCAGGCCCCCATCTGGTCCACAAAATGCCTCATAGCTTTCCTCTTAAACATTAAAACTATTTAAGATCACTTATATACAGGCTTTCTCCACATTTTTTATTTTTTAAAGATTTTATTTATTTATTTTTAAAGAGAGGGGAAGACAGGGAGAAAATGAGGGAGAGAAACATCAATGTGTGGTTACCTCTCATGCACCCCCTACTGGGGACCTGTCCCGCAATCCAGGAATGTGCCCTGACTGGGAATTGAACTGGTGACTCTTTGGTTCACAGGCTGGCACTCAATTCACTGAGCCACACCAGCCAGGGCTCTACATTTTTTAAAGCACACACAATACTACTGCAATAAATGAAGTGAAAACAAAATTCTACTATTTTACCATTCTAATACACCATATCCTCCCACTTAATCCTCACTCATAATGAAACTGAAATGTAAGTGAAATTTTTAACTGCGATTTTCTAATTTAACACCATATCAAAATATATTTTTATAACTACCATAAGTATGACTTTCCATCACTACAAAATATTCTGTGAAATGAATGCTGCCAGAATCGCTAGTGCTTATTTAGGTTATTCTCAGATTTTGCTGTTATAAATGATAGTAAGTGAATGTGTTTACACATGTTATTTTCTCCTTCTTTGAATTATTCATTTAGAGAAAATTCCCAGAGATAGAATTAATAGATCAAAGTGTATGAGTATTTTAATGGCTCTTGACACATATTGCCAAGTTGCCATGTTTGTATTATACACAATTCCTTACTGATAATGTTTAAGAGGCTCTCCTCAAAAAAAAAAAGCTTGAAATGCTTTATTTATAGTGTTTGCCAATTACTCTGATGTAGACACTCCTCCAGTGACCAGTTTCAAGCTACCAATAGGAAATCACTGAATGCAGGCTGGAAAGAAGCTCAGTAGCACAGTATGATAGAATATTTCTATCTTACAAGTAAAAAGGAATAAATAATGTCAAGAGCAGAGATAATAGTGAAATGTAGTAAGTAATTAGGAAGTAATGAGTTTTGAGTATTTATTACCTTTATTTTTAATGAAACTTATTTAACTGAGCTATATAATTTAATTTTAATGGTGGATGTGTTTAACAGCTAGCTTGCAAATTTTCTGGAAATATTATAATCAGCTCTTGCAAGCAAGTACAGGCAGGCTCCTGCACACCATCACAAACACCTCACTCGATATTTTGCAGAAGCACGTCTTTTTTATTTTTTTTCTTTTAAGCCACTGAAAATTCACCTTATTCCAATGTGTGTCACAAACAACAGCCATGCTTTTAGGGTAGCAGGCTATGCAAATACATAATGAATAAAATATAGTGTAAATAAAAGATAGAGAAAGTGCATTCGGGTCAATTAATTCTGTCCACAATCCCCCTACACTCTTCATGCATTCATCTTACTAGCATTTTTCCATGAGGTCACCTATAAAAACCACTCGGTCATTTATTTACTCGAACAATGGCTGAATAGATGACTACATGTAGTTGTCATGGCAAATGTCATGAGAACCCTATTACATGTTACTTAACCACTGTCTTCCTGGGTGTTCTTTTCTACGAAACAGGGAAGAGGTCACCGCTGACTTCATTTTTGCAAGAAGCTAAGTGTAGAGATAACAAGGCTCTAAGAAGCAATTGAGCATACCGTAATGTTTTGAAATTCTCTCCCTAAAGTAATTCATTGGTATTCTGTTTTACTGGAAAAGAGGAATTGGGAGGGTGATTTGGCACTTTCTCTATTGAAAGCAAATTCCTTTTTTTGGACTCCCCTGGCGTAATAATGAAGAGCCTCGTGTGTGTAAAACACTCTAGAACTTTTTAAGTGGCATCCCACCCGTGCATGCTAAAACATAAATATGGCTAACAGGAGCTCTCCACATGCTCACATCCTTGACTCAGTCATCCCACTCTCCTCAGAAATCAATTCAGAACAAAGGAAAATACTTTTGTGTAGCCATTTAATCTCAATAGAGGGAAAATCATTCTGTCTCATCTCAGCACTTACTCAACTTACCATCTCTGTGCCTGGGGCCCTGAGGGGAGAGCTCTGCATTAGTGGCTCCTGATGGCTCATCTGTGCAACAGCTGTCTCCAAGTCACCTGGGGAGAAAGAGTTTGTTCCTGTTATCACACAGATTCCTGGACCCCACTTCAGGGCTGGGATGTGACACATGAGAATTGATGGCTTTTAAAAGCTGCCCGGGTGGTTTTAGGAATGATGATTCTGGGACAGAGCCAGACAAATCCAATGATCCTGAACAACTGTCCACATCAGGGGAACAGGATGACATTTTATACAATGCATCCAGAAGTTGCTCAGGGCATTCAAGCAGCTGCTGGAGTCGAATGACTAAAGAGCTAGGAGGAGGCTTTGTTTTCGGCAGCCTCCCGCCCTCCTCCATTCACCTGTCCATCTCCCACTGCCCACCCCAGCTCCCAGTGCTGCCACACCGCCTGCCAGCGTGCTCCACTTCCTCACGGCACCCTTCCTGACTCGGGTCCATCCCTTTCCATACACAAAGCCCCAAACTTCCCTCTCTCATGTTACCAGTGGGGATCTAGAAGGAAAATAGTATTACCACTTGACTAAAGCAGTACACACGTATAAATGAGAATGTCCTGCATAATGAACATACAGGCCATATTTGAGTTTTTTAAAGGGAGCTTATAACCCAAAAGAATCTCTCATCTGGAGAGTGGCACGGAAAAGCAGGATGCTTCTTAATCTTGGCTTTCACCCAGACCCCAAGCATCTAGAACCCAAATGAGCACTTTGGGCACTCGTCGTCAAAATGGTCCCAACTCTTGAATAGAGATGGATTTTTAGCTATGCCTTGCTAGCACTAAAATTAAAATAAAATTAAATAATTTAATTTAAGCTGACCAATGAAGGTCACTCTGTCTGCCTCTAATTACAAGCCCTTTTGTAATTCCACCCAAAGCTCTCAGAGAGACCTGTCTGCCACAGATGGCCAAAATAACACGGAAGTCACGCAGAGGGTTATCTTATAGTCCAAAATTCTGATGTGGAAAGGCTCAAAATATCAGTTTTTAATCTCTTCTCTTTTTCATATGCATTATCTTTATAAAACACCCAGCTCTGTACCCGCTTCCATACCTGGTGCTCAAAAAATATTAATTCCCAGCCTCTGCCCATCAGCCCCATTTACTTTACAGGTATCTCATTCCAAGGCCAGGGACCAAATCATTCCAGTGTCCCCAGCTAAGCCTTTAATAAGAACCATACCAACTACATTTATTGTGAATTAATTTTATGCCAGGCACTAGGCTAAATGCTTTACATATTTTTATTTCACTTTATCAAAAAAAACAACCCTCTGATGTAGGTATTTTCAGTTATTATCACAATTACTTCACAGTTTTCTTTTTGATCTGAGGATTGAAGAAATTAAGTAACTTGCCCAAGTCTCACATAGCTCAGAAGGGATAGACCGAGGCTTCAACACAACGCAGTCTGGCCCCCAAAGTCTGAGCTCTTATTCTCCGTGCTATGTTTCTGCTAGTATGTGGGCACAGAGAGTTCATGGCCCAGGAACATACAGTGCTCTGATCGTTAGGAAAGGAGGGGCAGCATGTCCGCAAGGTCTCTTTCAGATCTGCAGAGGAAATAACACATATTTGATGGAATTTTTGGACTGGGTTGTTTTTTTTTTTTTTTATCCTCACCTCAGGACATATTTTCATTGCATTTAGAGACAGAGGAAGGGAGAGAGAGAAACACTGATGTGAGAGAGAAGCACTGATCGGCTCCCTCGAGTAAATGCCCGGACAGGGGATTGGGCAAGCCCGGACTGGGAATCCAACCTGCTACCTCTTAGTTGCCAGACGATGCTCCAACCAACTGACCCCACCAGCCAGGTCTGGACTGCCCATTGAAGGACAGAGGTTTTCTTAACATCGGCCAACCCACTTGTCCTCCCAAGAGGAAGGCTACTTTAATCACCAGGTGATTGAAGAGTCACCTTAAAATGTGGTAACCAGAAAAACAGAGGTCTTACAGGTACCCCAAGACACACAACCCTTGCTCTACACAAATGGGGTACTAAAGGGAGACAGTAGAGGACAAGTGGGGGGCCACAGATGCGGAGATGCATAAAGCAGCTCCATGGACAGATGAAGAGGCTAGGAGCCCCCGCCGAGTTCCCGGTGCCTGTGAAAGCCGAGAGACAGAAGCCTGAGGGCAGGAGAACACTGGGAAACTGCTCAGAGGAGTCCGCTCCCCTCAGCAGCCGCTGGCGGCTCTCCATAACCCGTCTGCATGTTCATCTTCCGAGCTCATTTCCTGCCAATGTGTAAAACAGACTCTCTGCGTTTCTCGGGCCAGTCTCCTCAGCTGGATGGTCCTCTCCTCCTCAGCCTCACCTTCGCACCTTTGCCCACACAGTCCCCTCGGTGTGAATTAACCTTCTCCTCCTTCTACTCAAAGCTCCCATCTTCCCAAGGCCCGTGTCTGCCAGACTGTGCCAAGTTCAAATGCCCTTCTCAAAGCCCCGGTAACTCCCACGGCTGTGCCGCCCCATTCCTCCCTTCGTTCCCCTCTCACACTGAGTCCTGGATTTTACTCCTTACATGACTACAAAACAATAAGGTCCTTCAAATATAAAGAATTTAGAAATTCTTTGTATTTATATTACATTCTTCACAGCACCAGCTTAGGATTTATCACTGATTTTCAACGACTTGCTGTTAACTTTAATGGCAGTTTTTATAAAGTACCTAACACTGGTGATTTCCCAAATTTTATTTACTCACAACCCAGGCTACTGACTGGTACCTCACAGCAACATGTGAAACAGAAAAGTTAGACACTCCAGATCCAAATCTACATCATTTGGATTTGGGTTGTTCTTTTCTGAATTAGAACATCTTAAAACTCCTATCTGCAAAACTTTGAGAATCTTTAGATTTACTTCATCAAACGTAGGGTGATACTTATACTACCCATTTTTAAAAAATGTTGAACTATAATTGACATACAATATTATATTAGTTTCAGGTATACAACATAGTGATTAAACAATTATGTAACTTACGAAGTGATCATCCCATAGGGAGCCCATCAGACACCCTAGCAAACTACCCAAACTTAAGCTCATTCATAGTTGATCACACGCATATCAATTCTCTAGGAAAATATCTGAAAAACCAAAATCCAACTATTATGCCATGAATTGTTTCAAAGACTATATGTATCACGTTAGGACCTGGAGTGGGGTCACAGCTGGACATCAGAGCAACCCCAGTTCTTCCTATAATGCCACTCCATGCTTTACAACAGGCCGAACAGGACAATTGGTATGTTTACCCTAGAGCAAAAGCTAAATTCTTTTTATACCAAAGACATATTTTTAAAGAAGCAAAAGTCTTACCTGTTGTAGAATGTCAAAGACATCCTCAACACCAAAATGACTGACTCCGGATGTTAAAGCTGTTCAGTGCCAGGGAAGTCAAAACAAAAGCAGCCAAGCCCTTTCACTGTGACGGCTTCCTTCTAAAATCCACCTTCCCTTCCTTCCTAACAGTATAACTGGCTCACGCTGGAAGAACAAAAAATGTAAGAGCTAGGCAGGTAAAAATCCCAGCCCAAGACAGTTGGGCGAACGTGCGTGGTGACTGGGGCACCAGGAACCATCCGAATGTGACAAGAGGTTAGCGAGTTCCTGTGTAAAGTCAGTTTCCTGTAGCTGGCTTCTCCGAAAAAGGGGTTTCATTTGTGTGGGGTTTCGTGGTGTGTGTGTGTATGCACAGGCGGGCGCAATGCACACGTGCATTTCTCTCCATGACAATGTGAAAATTCCCCAGATAAGAGGCAGACTAAGGCCTTTGCTGTGTAGCTAGATTTGTGTTTAATATATCAACCCTCCTGGGCCATTTCTCCTCCCCTATCTCTCCATTTCCTACCAGCAAATAAATCACCCACATAAAACAGGAAAGAAAGAGTGAGAAACCAAGATGATTTCTTAAGGATGTGAAATAAAGCAGAAAAAAAAAAAGGAAGAAAAAGTCCACTCCACTGACTGCTCGTGGTTAACTTAAGCTTCGGAAAAAGCACCTTAGAACTTACAAGTCAGCCTAATGAACATACTATGGAGGGAAACCAGGAGGTGAGTGGTTTGCTTTGCTTTCCTTTATTAATAACTACTGAATAATAATTGAGGAAAAAACAGACTCCGCCATAGCAAGAGCTCAGGCAGCCCTGCCATGCATTCACCCTTTTACAGACCAGCACCTGTGTTGTACGGTACGTGACTGCGAGTTGTTTTCAGACTCAGAGTTTCATTATTTGCCTTCAGACACAAATTTACTGGTTTTGTCCTCCAGCGCAATCCAGGTGTAGAGACATCTGCTTTTAGATGATGGCTAAAGTGCCTAACCTGACAAATTTAACTTTTATGATGTGTTCACAACGCCCAAGGCCTCGAATCCCTGAATAATCACCAACGCTTCTCCCCAGGGTGAAATCTTGGTCAAAACACTGACATGCCGTGAGGATCAAGTCAACTGCACTCAAGTCAACAAATATTTATAGAGCCCCTACTGTGTGCAAAATCCAGTGCTGGGTGCTGGGGTGGGGTGGGGACACAAAGATGAAGGAGATGCAGTTCCTCACTCATAATGGTCAAAAGCAAGGGAAGGAGAAAGACATGGACGTAGAGGGGATGCTGTGCGTCAGGATCTATTTAAGCTGTCACAAAGAATCCTGGAGTGCAAGGGTCAGGTAAAAGGAAAGCGTATTAAGCCATTTTCCCAGTTAAAATAGCCACTGAACACTGGCATGAATTCTCTTATAATGGTCCAGGGAGCATCGGCTGGCTTCCGGGAGGCCCAAGAGACCATTACTTGTGGGCCATCTTCATTGTCGCAGACTCATATATTGTGCACCTGGTACTGTGCACTGAAGAAAAGGACAGAAACCAAGACAGACATATTTCCCGTCCTCACAGTACCTACGTCCAAGACTGGGGGAGACAATAAAAATATTCAAGTAACTGCAATAATTATACATTGGAGTAACTAGTGCACAGGAATCAGAGAAGAAGCAAGTTAAAGAGCATAACAAGATCTACATTCTAGAGGGGTCAGGAGGGCTTCTTCGAGCAACTGGCAATACAGCTGAGACCTAAAGCTGTGACTTGAAGATGGGTATAATAATGGAAATTATCTGAGAGGCTTTTAAAAATACTAGTGCCCAGCCCTGACCAGTTGGTTGGGCATTGTCCCACAAAATCAAAGGTCACTGGTTCGATTCCGGGTTCAGTCCCCGTCAGGCGTGTACAAGAGGCATCTGATCGATGTTTCTCTCTCACATCGACATTCTCTCCCTGTCTTTCTCTCTCCCTTCCTCTCTCTTTAGTTAGTTGGAGCATCGTCCCATAACCAAAGGGTTTGATTTCCAGACAGGGCACATTCCTGGGTTGCAGGTTCAATCCCCAGTCTTGGTGCTGACAGTCCCTGGCCCAGGCGCCTGGGGGAGGCAACCACTCAATGTTTCTTGTTCACTTCAATGTTTCTCTCTCTCCTTTCCTCCCTCTCTAAAAAGCAGTGAAAAAATGTCCTCAGGTGAGGATTAAAAGATTAAATAATATACATTTTTTAAAAATACTTAAAAATAAAAATATCAGTACCTAAGCTCCACCCTCTCCCAAGATTTTAGTTTAATTTGTCTGGGTTGTGGCCCGGGCACCAATACAAACTCCCCCAGTCATTCTAACATGTCACTACCACTCTGATAACGAGAAAGAGAAGCCTAGAGAGCAGAAGGAAGGACAGTCCAAACAGAGACAAGAGTGTGTACAAAGGCCCTGAGGTAGGAAAGAGCTTGTATTGTTCAAGAGAGGGAATGAAGATTAATGAGTCTGGTATGTAGTGCTGGCAGGAGGAAACGGTGCAAGATGAACATTCGCAGAGATGGGCATTCCATTTCTAAGCCCATAAGAGACCTACGTGAGCCCAAGTGTTCATTTGTTAATGTGCAGGAAGCACACAGTCTGCCAGGTGAGATCTTTGAGCCCTCTGATGAGCACACTGTCATCTTCTAGAAAATTCTCTGTGGAAAGCCAGATCACCACCATGATATTATCAGGTAGGTAGAACACATGGCTGGTAGGTACTTTTTTTACCTGCAGTTTTGGTCAGCAGAAGATTTAGGACATCTAATAAAAAGCCATAGTCCTTGGTGAGATAAAACAAATTTTTAAAAAAGAAATGAGAAGATGAGGACAAAAAAATTAAGCTAAAAGCAAGGGTGAGGTTGATGCAGAAAAGGTACGCGGTGTGGTTCCTAGGCTTTTTAAGCAACTGGTGTGCGGCGGCGAGCCCCCGAGTGCCCGCTGGGCAGAAAGGAGCGCCGCGCTTGGGGCGGCAGCGAGGGCACCTCGGCTTCCCAGGGCTGAGGCTGGAGAGAAACTGCGTTGTCACAGCGAGGACATCACCGCTGATGCGAAACTCCGTCCTTAGACTAAACACAGCCAGCGACAACCCTTGTGAGGTGGTTGCTGTATCTCCCCTCAGTGTGGGCTGGTGTTCTCTCACCAGGGAGTCGAGTCAGAGGAATTCGGGGAGCCTGCAGATTCGTACAGTGTGTTCTGTCCCAGGGCGCGGCTCTTTGATGGACCAGTTTAATGCGGCGATGAAGAGTTGACTTCACATAGGCTTCAGAAAGTTCAGGATGAAAGATTTTCTCATCTGAGCTTCTAAAAGATTGGGGGTGGCAAAGGGTTCAGCGTTGATTGTGCTTCCAGCAAGAGACCCAGGGGCCTTCCCCGAGCCCCAGCGCCCCCGGGGAGAGCCGAGGCACCGGGCAAGGACCTTGCCGCACGCACGGCCCCTCCACCTCCAGCAGAAGGTGTCCTTTGGGAAGCAAAGCGGGAGGCACCGCAGACCTGGCTTCTAAGTCGAGGGCCTCGGGCCTCACACATTTTCTTCACAACGGGAAGAACCTGCTTACGCCAGGGCCAGGACAGACGGAGCGTGTCCTCGGCGGGCCCAAGCGCCCGCACTCCGCCCGGGGCGGGGTGCTGGGAAGGGCACTGCCGTGTCGGCTTGCAGGTCTCCCCTTCCTGTCCTGGCCCCCCACTGCCCACCCTTCCTCTGCTGGTGGGCTGGCTCTCTCTGTGTGCGGAGTCGCAGCCTTAGATGTCCTCACAGAGTCAGGCTTTGTGCTTCTTCCTGCTCCTCACGGTGAGAAACAGTGTATCTTCACCTATAATTCAGTCTCAGAGGAGTGGCCTGGGGGAGGGTTGGGGACAACTTGCTACCTAACTTTCTTCCTTTCATGGAAATCTCTCTTTTTCTTCTTCTTCTCTCTCCACTTGCCCCCCACCCCTGCCTCATTCTTCTAACAGACCAGAGTAAGGGTGAGGGGAAGAAGCAAGTGACTTAAAATACATGTAGACACTATAGGCTCAGAAAGAGAGAGAGAGAGACAGAGAGAGAGAGAGAGAGATCCAAACGTCTTGGTGAGTCAGTTCTGATGCTACACAGCCCAGCCTCCGGACAGAGGCGGGGAGAATCCGGGGGAATTCAAGCGGCAGGAAGGAAGGAGACTTTACTATGGAGTTCCTAGTAGGAAGCAGACCTTGTTAAAAGCCATATTCCGGGAAGCCCTCCTGCACCACCACCCTGCCCCACTGCAAGCCGGGTGAGGTGCCCTCCCTGGAGCTCCCCCAACAGCCCTGCAACAGCCACTGGGGAGGCCCTGAAGGCCCAGGGCCTGCCTGGCTCGCTGGTGCATCCCAAGCACTAAACAGTCACTTAAGAACCCGGGCACAGGCGGTGGAGGGGTGGGGAAATGGGACATCTGTAACAGTGTCAACAATAAAAATAAAAAATACAAGAGCCATTTGCTAACCAATAGATTGATTCTCTCATCTAATCTTCATCACAGCCCTCTGTGGTAAACATTTTTAAGTGTATTTTACAGCCGAAGAGACCTCAAGTGGTTAAGTGAAACTCTACAGCCTACAAAAAGCAAACTACAGACTGAGGATCAGTCCTGGCTCTTCACACCACTGTCCCCCAGTGGAGAGAGCTGGGCCAGTGTGGGGAGGGCGAGGCAGCCTGAGCCTCAAGGCCAGGGGTCCATTTCTCTCTTGCAAGTGCTCTCCTCTGAGATTCCCAGGCAAACGCAATCCACCAAAGGTAGAGACATGCTTTCTCAAAGTACCTTTGTTTGAAGTGTCCTCTGAGGTGGCAGAAGAACAGCTTATTCTTTTTCTTTAACAGTCCCCTAAGAACAAGGACTTCCTATACTGAGGATTTTTAAATAATGTGACAACTCTCTGTGTACCCTAAATCCACGCATAAATGGTATTCTTGCTCACTGCAAAGATGCTCTGCCCCTTGTACCAGAGAAGACTCGTTGACAACAGTGATTGTAATGGATAGTAAACCTTGGAAACATTGCCGTATCAATCACTGGCGAAATCATTTCTACCCTGGATCAGTAAGATGTTTGCCTTCTTCTCACTATTAGTTTCTTCACTGAAATGATTTAGATTTAGCGGGTAGCTTTTAGTGTTTCCACAGACCCTCATTTGTGACTTGCCAGCTAATGAAATAAAACATTTCAGTGAGTTCTGAAGATGGAAAATCTGTACCAAAGCCTTATCTGAAGGCTTTGAGTTTTATACCCAGAGCATGAGTCATACTGTAGTTGTTCTTGCCCAGCTCCCCACTCAGTGATGAACAACTGTATTAAACCAAAACATGCATTCCTCGTGACTGAGAGATTTCATGATTGCAGAACATTAACTCTTCATAAAAGAAAGCACTTAGCTCTGACATGTAATGCATCAGTGTCAAATACATTCTTATAAAATACGCTTTCAGATTCTAAATGTTAACATATCTCAGAATGCCACCAGCTAGAAATCACAGGAATGATTTCCTCCTTATGCATTTTAATTCATTATGAACAATAGCCTCCAAACTAGATAATATCGTTTCAAACATCATCTAGCTTCCTCTGCCAGCCATAACCATAAAAAACACCATTTCCCCCGCTGTTATTTTCATCACCTATTTTCTCGTTAACTGTTTTAACGTAACATAACATATTGCTTTTTGTTTCAGTGGATGTTAGGTTCTCGGGACTCTCAACTGCCATCTGGTCTGCCCTGTGTAACTATGTTTATCTAGCAAACATTTACATCCTGGTTCACTTTACTACAGAGCTATAATTCATAACAACACAGGGCCTTGTTGCAGAAGAGGACAGCACTCAAAGTAATCATTCAAGCTGGGCTGTACAGTTAAGGTACAACTTTTTCTTTTGCTCTCTCAAAGCACAGCTAAGGCAGCCACATGACCATTCCCCTTGATAGTTCATGCACTTTTTCAGCGTTGCAGACGCTGCTCGAAGCATCTCTAG